TGCACAACCTGCTGGACCAGGGGGCACTGGACGAGGCGGCGGCGGCGGTATACGGCAGCGGCGGCAGCACGCCGGGGGCCTCGCCGCCGATGCCCCCGGCGGCGCCCTCCTCGCCGCCGCCGCCCGCGCCGCTGCAGCACGGCGGCGGCAGCGGCGCCGGGCGGCGCAGCTCCCTGGACGAGAAGGAGAGGCGGGGCGGCAAGGCGTCGCAGTGGGATCGCAAGCAGGAGGTGGGCGGGCGGTGGGCGGTGGGGAGCAGCCGGTCCCGGAGCGGGCACCCGGCCGCCTGCCCCGCCCTGCCAACGCTCCGCGCCAGCCGCTCCTGCATGTCCCCAGTCCCGACCCCTCCTGCCAACGTCCCCTGCATCCCTTCCCCATCCCGTCCTTGCCCTGCCCTCCCTTGCACACCCTCGCCCACCCCGCAGGTGATAGACGGGGTGAACGACTTGATCCAGGAGCTCAAGGATGTCGAGGAGAACATCGGGGCGCAGGTGCAGCCGCCACCCTGCGTGTGCGCCTACATGCGCCTGATGTGCGTTGGTGCTTGGTGGCGGCGGCACGTAAACGCCTCTGTGCACAGGGGCTGATGCGGCGGCGGCGCGAGGGAGGGAGGGAGGGAAGGAGGGAGGCCACCAGGCCGCCCCTGCCCTCGCCCTGCCCTTTGCCTGGCCGAGCGCCTGCCCTGCCCCGCCCCCTTCCCTGCGCCATGCTCTGCCCTGCTCCGGCCCGCGCTGCCGCCTGCCCTGTACTTACTGCCCCCCTGCCACCTGCCCGCAGGCTGTGGAGCACATCCACGCCAACGAGGTCATCCTGGTGCTGGGATACTCCCGTACCGTGCTGCACTTCCTGCGCAGGGCCGCCGAAAAGCGCAGCTTTGAGGTGCGGGGGGCTGGGGCTGGCGCCGGGGCTGGGGCAGGGCTGGGGCAGGGCTGGGGCAGGGCTGGGGCTGTGGTGAGGCCTGTGCTGGGGGTGGGCTGGGGCCGGGCGGCGCTGGGGCTGCCTGGTTGCGTTGCTAGCATGCCGCCCGGTGCGTGCCTCTCACGAGGCGGGGGCAGGGCGCACCTCGCCCCGCCGCCTGCGCAGCCGTGCCGGTCTGCCCAGGTGCGTGGGGGCCCCTCTGCCTGCCCTTACCCTTGCCCCGTCGACCACCTGCCCTCCCCTCCCCTCCCCTCCCGTAGGTGGTGGTGGCGGAGGCGTCCCCCACCTACCAGGGCCAGGCCATGGCCGGCGAGCTGGCGGCCCTTGGCATCCACGCCACGCTCATCGCAGACTCGGCCGTCTTTGCCATGATGGCGCGGGTGAACAAGGTGGGGCGCGGCGGCGGGGCGGGTGCAGGAGGAAGGGCAGCAGGCCGCGGTGGGACGGAGGGCAGGAGGGCGGGCAGCAGGGGCAGGAGGGTGGGCAGCAGGCTGTGTGGCGGCAGAGGCAGGAGGTGGTGGTGGCAGCGGCGTGGGTGGCGCCAACCTGTACTGTGCTGTACTGTGCTGTACTGTACTGCTCACGCTTCTGCGCCTGGCCTGCTCCTCGCTCTCCTCTCACTCACCCACCCGCCTCAACACACACACACGCTCTGGCGCCCCCGGCAGGTCCTGGCCACGGCACAGGCGCTGCTGGCCAACGGCGGAACAATGGCGCCTGCAGGGGCGCACATCGCGGCCATGGCCGCCCGCCGCCACTCGGTGCCCTTTGTGGTGCTGTGCGGCATCTACAAGCTCTCCACCCTGTTCCCGCACAACCCGGGTGGGTGGGTGGGGGCGTGGTGTGGGGGGCTGAGGTGGCTGAGGTGGCTGGGGTGGCTGGGGGCGGGGCGTGGGCTGGGGCTTGGCAGGCAGCGCATGAGTACACCCTTCCTGTCCTCTCCCTGCTCCCATGCGCTTCCCCCTCCCCTGCCGCCCCCGCTCCGGCACCTCCCGCCTGCACCGCCACCGCCGCCGCCGCCACCGCAACCACCACCACCACAACCGCCGCCACAGCCTCCACACATCCACACACATCCACAGACTTATGCGGGTTTTCCCACCCTGCCTGACTGCCCCTCCCTCCCCCGCAGCCGTCAACTTCAACGACTTCCGAGACCCAGCAGACATCCTGCCCCTCACGCACGAGGCGGTACGCCTGCCGCGCAAGGCGCGCGCAGACGCGCTGCTGCGGCTGGTGAGTGAGAGGGCGGGCGGGGCGGGGTGGAGGCGCGGCAGGCGGGGAGGCGGCGCAGCAGGCCGGCGCGGTGCAGGGCCCCGGCTCGGCTTGACTCACAGAGCGGATTCGGAGTCGGCGGGGCTCAAGCACACGTTGCGGCGCCGCACGTCGCCGCCGCCGGGCCTGACGTGGCTTACCGCTGGTCCCGCGCTGCCGCAGAAGGAGGAGGGGGATGAGTGGAAGAGCGGGCTGCCGCCAGGGCTGCCCGACCTGACGGTGCGCTGCACGGGCACGGCAGCGCGTCTCGCCCTGCTGGGCACGCCGAGCAGGGACCGCGCTCGCCGCCAGCGTGCCGCCCTCACGCCGCTCCCTCTGTGCACTGGAGCCCTCCTGCCACCACCCTGCTCTGCCCATGCCTTCCTTGCAGGTGGTGAACCCCAGCTACGACTACGTGCCGCCTGAGCTCATCTCCCTCTTTGTCACCGGTGGGTGCGGGCCTCCTCGGGGAGCGCGGGCCTCCTCGGGGAACGCTGATGAGCTGCCGTGCCGAGCTGGCCGCGAGCGCCAGGGTGCGCCTGCTTCAGCCTAGCTTCCTTCTTGTCGCGCGCCTGCAGACCAGGGCCACGGCTTCATGCCCTCCTACGTGTACCGCCAGCTGACGGGTGGGCGGGGCAGGCAGTACATGCGTGCTGCACATGGTGCATGTAGTGCTCGCTGGCATGCCAGGCCGTGGGGCTTGGGCGCAGGGCGTGGCGCTCATGCACGGGCCCAGCCCCGCTGCCGCCAGCGGTCTGACTTCTGCTCCTCATGTGCCTCTCCCCTGTGCAGAGTTCTACCACCGCCAGGATTTCATTTTGGACAAGAAGGCGCTGGACCAGCTGATCGGCTGATGTGGCGGCAGGGTGGCCGCTGCCACCCGCGAGCACGGCGGCCGATGAGGTGGCCACCGAGGTCGCTGCGAGCTGCTACTCCTCATGCAGGCTGCCTATCGCAGCAATGTGGTTGTAAACGACTGTGCAGGCTGGCAGGCTCCAGAGGCCCCATCGCGGTGGCGCCTGCCATGTCACCCGTCGGCACATCACCAGCAGCATGAGAGGGTCAACGCTCACAGACCTGCTGCACTGCGTTTTTGCGGTGGGCGCCCCACCGCGAGAGGGCCCAAACCCCACCCTGCCAGCAGTCCCGTAACCAGCACCTGGCCTGTTGTGTGCCCTCCTGCAACATGATGAGCGCTTCAGGAGGCGGAGGGAGGTCCTTGTCCTCTTCCGCTTCCCTAGACCATGCTCTCGCTGAGGCGCTGTCCGGGGGTGTGCTGCCCTGGCGGCAGCCCCTATGGCTTACACTGGCTCAAGCGGGCGGCTCGAGCAGGCGCGGCGACAGGACCTGGCTGCTCGGTAAACTCACATGCCGCCGCATGGCTGCGCGCAGCCTGCTCGCCCGTGCTTTGTGGAACGTTCCAAGCGCTGTGCAACGGGTTTGAGGCTCATCCGGCGGCAGTCCGACCGGCTTGCCCTGGACGACCGCCGCCGCCACCTCTCTACCACCTGACCGCTCAGCGCCCTCCCCCCGCTGCCTCCTCCCACGCTGCCTGCAGGAGCCATGATCGTGCTCCTCCTCGTGGCAACCCTGCCCCTCAGCTTCTTGTGCATGGTGAGGCCAAACCCTCGGCTCCGCCCCTCGCTTCTGCCACCCCTTTGGCTTGTTATCGCCGCGCCGGCAGGGTCCTGCGAGCCGCACCACCCTGCTGCCCAGTTTGCCTGCCCGCCTGCCCGCGCCTGCAGTCCATCCTGACGATGGCGGCGGTGGCCACCTGCCTGCGCGCATTCGCGCTGCACCAGTACACCCAGCGGCTGTCTGAGCTGGCGGTGAGCGCTTACATTGCGCTGTGCTTGGCACGCATGCCGCCGCGGGCGCTGCCGCTGCCGCACGCGTGGTGGCCGTCGCTTGCCGTTCTCGGGCTGCTAGCTGGCAGTGCAGGGAACGGCTGTGACAGCAGCAGTGCGCCTTTGCCTCTGTCCCTCCTGTCCCTCCTCTCGCTCTGCGCCTCAGCTACACCAGCTGGACACGCACGCCTCGAACCCTCCAGCCCGCACGCCTGTCCCCGCCGCCGCAGGTGCACGAGCAGGGCGAGGGCGGGCAGGGGGAGGGCGGCGACGGCGGCGGCTCCGCCAGCGGCGGCGCCGCGGCGCTGAGCTCAGCTGCGCAGCGCCGGCCGCGCCGCCCCTCGACGCTGCTCACCGCCGTGGCGGCGGCGGGGCGCCCCTTCAGCCTCCTCCACCTGCGCCTGTCCCTGGTGGAGCGAGATTTCACCGAACCTGGCGACTACGAGCTTCTGCTGCGCCTGGATGAGCTGGAGGCGGGTGAGAGAGGGAGAGGGGGGGGTGGAGACGCCCGCGCAGGGGCGCCGCGGCCGCCGCGATGGCGGTGAGCAGCGTCGAGGGGCGGCGCGGACGGCGCTGCGCAGCTGAGCTCAGCGCCGCGGCGCAGCCGCTGGCGGAGCCGCCGCTGTCGCTGCCCTCAATT